GGCTCGAGGACCGTCGGCCCCCGTTCGACTAGACGGAAGAGTGACCCTTCGCCGGAGTGACCTTTGGTGGGGGCCCAATTGGGCTCCCCCGAGCGCAGAACGCGGTGCGATGGTGGCGGCTTCCGCGCTTGTGGTTGGCCCCGCCGCGGCGCCCCACAAGCCGCGCACCAAAGGTCACTCTTACCCAGGGTCACTCTTGCGTGTAGTCGACCCGTGCCTGCGGAAGCTCGGGGGCGGCAGCTGCGGCCGATCCTGGCGCCTCCCTCGTATATAGGTCGCGGCGGTTCTGCCTCAGGCAGCGCCTTCCGGCCGCGAGCAGTTTCGTCGGCCGCGCGCTCGACGCTCGGCGCCTCTCTCTGCGGTCCGCCCTCTGCCCGCGCGCGCCGCTGCGGAGCTCCGCCCCCCCCGCGTCGTCGCCGAGCTGGGGCCAACGCGGGGCAGAGCGGGAGCGCCCCCTCTCGGGGGCCCGCGGCCCCGCTGGGCAGGTGCGCCCGCCACGCCGCGGCCAGCTCGGGGCTCGCGCTCCGCGGCAGCCATGCCTCCTGCGAGGCTGGCCGCCGCAGCATTGTGTTCTGCTCCCACTGGTCAGGCCATTTTTGGTCGTTCTATCGTTTCGTAGTAGTGATGTTTGGTTCGCTAGTGGCGATATTCTGGAGTCATAGATGTTCTAAGTACGTGTGAGTCTACTTCTGTTTGTGCTGGCGGTGGTCAACGACGGATCCTGCTCTGGCGAGGGCGTGCTCGGAGTTTCCGCAGGGCGGTGCCCCTGCTGTGGCCACGGGACGAAGCCGTCGCATCCGCGTCAGTGCACAATATGTTGAAGCCCTTGACTTTAAGCAGGCTGGGTTGGCCGCTGATTTTCCCCCAGCCGCACTCTTCATTCTCGCATGGCACGACCATGGTGACAGGTGCAATCAACGCGTTCAGCTTGGAGCCAAAATGGCTACGGACAGGTTGGCATGGAAAAGCACTCCATAACATCATAGCAGAGCATACAATAATACGGAACAAGAACTTGTTCCATAGTCAGAACTCACTGCAACTGCGACCTATCCAATTCTCCGCTTCTTCTTCTCATTCCCATCATCCCTCAATTATATTTCCACGCCCATGAGGGATGGGAGGTGAGGGAGGAGAGAGGTGGGTGATGATGAGAGTAGGAGGAGGGATACAAAGGGAAGGAGAAAAGGACAAAGGGAGGGAGAAGAGAAGGAGATGGACATAACAGTTCCAACCAATATAACGACAGAAAAGTGAGAAATGAGGATTGAAGGAGGTGTGACAGAATGATGGATGAGGAAGAGGAGATGCGGCCTGAGCAGGGGGAGAAAGACGAGGAAAACAGAGGAACGAGCGAAATAATAATCGGAAAGTGAGAGAGGAGGAAGTAGGTCACTGTGGGGGGTGCTGGGTGCTGGGGGGAGCATTCTATGTATATATGTGTATGCATATGTAGGTGCGCGTGTGTACATATATATATATATATATATATATATACACAGATGTGGTGGGTCATGTCGTTCTGGGCACCCCTGGCCTTCTCTCCTGCGCAGTGGCTTGTCCACCAATGTGGAGCAAACTGGAGTTGGGTCGGGTGCGTTGTCGCCGCTCTTTCCCCCCTTGGTCTTTCTTTCTGTGGCATCTTGAGCGCGCGCGGGGCTTATTTGTCTCTCTCGTAGATTTTTATGAGTGCTGTCTTTTCGGTAACCCCGGCTTGCAGTGGTTGTCGTTGTCGTTGAAGAGGAGGCGGAGGAGGGGGGGGAAGGGGGGGGGAGTAAGGAGGAGGAGGAGGAGGAGGAGGAGGAGGGAAAGGAGGAGGGAGGAGGAGGGAGGAGGAGGAGGGAGGAGGAGGAGGAGGGAGGAGGAGGAGGGGGAGGAGGAATAGGAGGAGGAGGAGGGGAGGAGGAGGAGGAGGAGGAGGAGGAGGAGGAGGAGGAGGAGGAGGAGGAGGCGGCGGCGGCGGGGGCGGCGGAGGAGGAGGAAGAGGAGGAAGAGGAGGAGGGGGAGGAGGGGGAAGATGATGATACGGAGGAGGAGCAGCAGGACGACGAGGAAAGAGAGGAAACTCATCAGAAGAACCAGCGCACGAGAAAGAGACGTACTTCACATAATGATATGAAGAAGCATACATAACACATGCATAGTCAGAAGCAGACGCATACTCAGAAGCAAAAACATGAGCATGAACGGAGTAATAGCACGACTCAGAGTAATCACACGAATACTAATAACAGTAACAATTATGAGACTCAGACTAGTACCCACAATAAAACGTATGAACATAATGTTGTGAAAGCTACCACGGTTATTCATATTACGAAGGACACGAACAATACGAATCGTACCAATACTAAACGCAGTCAACCATTGAGCCTGTTCATAATCATTGACATGCTAATAGCAACCATGGTAACCATAAGTAGACCACTAGAAGACTAATCATGCACATACACATCTTACTAACAATGTCGGTACTTGTACGAATACTGGCAACACCAACACTTATCATGTTACGGCTAAGAAGACTAATAATACTAGTAGTGATAATCATTGAGTAAACTTGATAATAGTAAGATCAACACGAAGCATCTGACGAATACGCATCATAATAATGGGAATGTTGAGAATAGTAGTACGACTAGGACATCTACTACCAACACCAAGAAGACACATGACGCGAACAGTAATAGCAACACTGCTAAGGCGAGTATTGCGAATAAGTCTAACGGTCTCATTATTCGCAATCTCATTATTCTTGTTATTGGCACAATCAGTATTACTATCACTTATTATTGCTTTGGTTGTTATCGTGAGTCATTGGACTACTACCAATACTATTAAAAAAAACGCATAGTACGAACACGACTGATACTGACATTACTGATCTTTGGAGGAGAAGACGAGGAGGACGAGGAGGAGGAAGATAATGAGAAAGAAGAGGAGGAAGAGGTGGGGGAGGAGGAGGAGGAGGTGGAAGAGGAGGAGGATGAAGGGGGCTAGGAGGAGGCGGAGGAGGAGGCGGAGAAGGAAGATGATGAGGAGGAGGAAGAGGAGGAGGAGGAGGAGGAGGAGGAGGAGGAGGAGGAGGAAAGGGAGGAGGAGGAGGAGGAGGAGGAGGAGGATGAGGATGAGGATGAGGGGGGAGGAGGAGAGGAGAGGGGGAGGAGAGAAGATGAAGGAGGAGGCAGGAGGAGGAGGAGGAGGAGGAGGAGGAGGAGGAGGAGGAGGAGGAGAATAACGAGGAGGAAGAGGAGGAGGCGGAGGAGGAGGCGGAAAAGGAGGAGGAGGAGGAGGAGCAGGAAGAAGAGGAGGAGGAGGAAGAGGAGCAGGAGGAGGTGGCGAATGTGGAGGGAGGAAAACCACTGTCAGCCCAAGACTCGTCAACGATCTTGGAAGAAACTCTTCCTCCAACTTCCTTCTTCATAGGTCCGTGCAAGGGTTCATTTGCTCTAAAGCAACTGCCCCGTGGGAAAACAACCGCAGGAAAATCCAGAACCGTGCCAGAACACCATTCCTGGGACATGAACGCCGCGGATCATCGTCCCAGTTTCGCTTGAGCGATCTTGAACCTGACAAACACGCCATTCCTGGGAGATCAGCGCCGCCAACGTAATTCTTGCGCCGTGACAGTCTTACATCGTGCAAGAACATCACTTTTGGGACGCCAGCCGTAAGAATCCTTGAACGTGCTGTAGACCATTCGAACGCATGTGCGCTGCGCCACGGCGAGGACCACATTTTGAAAAGGTACCTGCCGCCCTCCATCCGTGAAGCTCGCGCAACTGTTTAGGACGAATATGCGCGGCGCCAAAGTGAAATCCACATTTTATAAAGGTACCTGCCGCCCTCCATCTGTGACGCTCGTGCAAATGTTTAGGACGAATGTGCTCGGCGCCAAGGCGAGATCGACATTTTGAAGACGGCCCGCCCTCCATCCGTGAAGTCGCGCAAATGTTCAAGACGAGTGTGCGCGGTGCTAAGGCGAAAACCTCATTTTGAAAACGGCCCGCCCTCCATCCGTGAAGCTCTTGCGAACTTGCGACGAATGTGCGCAGCGCTAAGGCGAGAGTCACACTTTGAAAACGCCCCGCTTCATCCGTGACATTGTTGGAAATATCAGGTTCAATGATCATAAAGGCTGGGGAACTCTCAGGCGAAACGCCCAGCCTGTCTTACCGAATTCGGGGTGCGGCAGGAGGAGTTATTTGAAAGGAACAGGGATGGGGGAGGAAGAGGATGGAACCGTGGGTGGCGCGGGTGGGTGACAGGGAGATGGGTCTCGACCGCGGTCCCGTCTTATTTGCTTCATCGCCCGCTCAGTTGGGTTGCTGTTGTGTTTGAACCATCCCTGACCCGTCGCGTATCCATTTCGGCTCATCCAGGAACGATTCCCAGGATAGTTGCCGAAATAGTGAGAGTGTAGGAACATAAGTGACATAAAAAGGTGGAGTACCAGTTAAGCATCAAAGAAGGGATCGGCCGAAACAGCACTTCAACAGTGCCAACCTGGAGTCCTCGACGCCTCTTGGGGACTGTCTTCGAGCTCTCTTAACGCCTTAGGCCCTCTGGGAGCTCTGTTTGAGCCCTTCTGATTGTTGTCCGTGCCCCTGGGGACCACGCTGGATGATCGTTTCTTTCTTGCGGCTCTCTTTGGGCTCGTCTGGCTCCTGTTGGGGCTTTCTTGTCTCACATCACGCGTCTTGAGGCCTGAGAGGCCCAGAGGAAAATGAAACAACGAGAAGGCAAACACCATTCAAGGTTTTGCGGTTTTCAGTTTTTTTTGCCTGCTCTGGGGCATGCGGTTCGGGGGCCACCTCAGCTATCTTGGGGCCTTCTTGTGGCCTCTGGTCTCGCGCACTCCGATTCTGAGAGGGGGTAGTGGCAAGAGTTTCCCTTCCCCGAAGCTGAAGGGGGGGCTCTCGTGGGAGAGTTGGGGACCTCCAGTACACGTTTCCACGACCCGTGCGTGGTGCATTTTGCCCTCCCCCCCCCCCGTGGAGGTCGACGCCGACGCCGCAGGCCACGCCGCAGGCCGGCGCAGCAGAGGGAGGTGTCGGGCACCATGCTGCATAGGGAGCAGTACCTATCCCTCCCTATCCCCCCGCCCCCTCTCCCTTTCCCCCCAGCTCTCCTCCCATCCCCCATCACCCCAGCTTGGTTCCAGTCCCCCTTGGCCCCACTCCGTAGTCATTCGTGCCCTCCGCCCTGACCCTGTACACGATCACACACTATATGAATACTACTCTCCTCTCTCCCCTGGTGACGTCCGGGAAATGGCCGGCCCCCCTTCGCGTACTGTTTTTTTCCAGGATTCCTGGGAAACGGGTTTTCGCTTGGGTTTTTCTTCAAGATGCTGCTCTCGCTGAGGCGCTGGCTTCATTTTCGGGCCACCGCTCGTTCCGAATCGTGCTCCCGCTGCAGCGCTGACCTCATTTCCGCGCTTCTGCTCGTTCCGAATCGTGCTCCCGCTGCAGCGCTGGCGTCATTATTTCCAGTGCCATGCCACGGCATGGTTTCGGTCCTTCCAAATAGGCCCTAAAATCAACAAAATGGCCTTCCGAAGAAGCCATCAGAAGTGATTCCACATTCGGTGTCGATTCGTTGATTTTTGGGCCGCAGAAGCCCCCCCGCTTTGGGGCGTCGCCACGCCATGCTATGTCATGCTACGCGTTGATCTTCAACACCATGCTATGCAATGTAATGCTGTGCCATGCTAAGACATCCGATTGTGCGAATAGAGAAGAGATCTACGCCATGGTAAGGGATGGGAGGGAGGGGTAGAACGGCAGATATGACGCGAACGCACCTAACTTGTCCCGGTTCCCCTCCCTTCTCTCCCGTCTCAGCCGCGCTGCTGCGCAGCAGCGCGCCTGCACGAGGACGGAGGCGTGTGCGAGTCTACATCAGTAGGAGACGGACGAGGATGAGGAGTGGAGAATGAGGGGAAGGGAGGATAATGAGGATGCGGAGGATAAGGAAGCGACGAATGAGGAAGCGCAACAGGAGGAGCGGAGAATTAGGAATTGGCGAATGAGGAAGCGGAGGATGAGGAAGCGAAGGATGAGGAAGTAGAGATGAGTGGAGGATGAGGAGTGGAGAATGAGGAAGCGGAGTGACGTCTCATTTTGAAACTGTGAACTGGCGCCACTTTCGTTGGCTCCTGGAGGGCCCAGCGGAGTGGTGTCTTACGCACATAAGCTGTCGCCGCTTTCGTGAGCTCCTGGGGGGCCCAGCGGAGAGGTGTCTTGCGCACATCCAGACTCGACCTCTCGGCTCCTTGTGGGACTGCGAACTGTGAAGCTGTCACAAGTTTCGTGGGCACCTGGGGGCCCAGCGGAGTGGTGTTTGACGCACATCCAGACTAGACCTCGCGGCTCCATGGGGGACCGCGAACTGCGAAACTGTGGCCGCTTTCGCGGGTTCTTTGCTGGCCCAGCGGAGTGGTGTCTTACGCACATCCAGACCAGACTTCGCGGCTCCGCTCCATGGGGGGCTGCGACCTGCGAAACTGTTGCCGCTTTCGTGAGCTCCTTTTGGGGCCCAGCGGAGTGGTGTCTTACGCACATCCAGACTGGACCTCTCGTGTCCCTGGGAGCAGCGACCTGCGAAACTGTTGCCGCTTTCTTGAGTTCCTGGGGGCCCAGCGGGGTGGTGTCTGACACACATCCAGACTAAGCCTCGCACCTCATTGGAGGGTTGCGAACTGCGAAGCTGTCGCTGCTTTGGTGGGCTCCTGGGGGGCCAGCGGAGTTGTGTCTCATATCGAGACTAGACCTCGCGCCACGAACACGACCAGCACCATGCCAGCACCATGCCGAATGGCGAAACTAGACAATGACATTCCTGACAGCACAACTTGAGGACCAACTCTGTAAAGACACAAAGGAAGATATAATACAAGTTTGCCTACACGTGTTCACTCGTACCGATACGAGTGTGCATGACTGCATGCAGTCCATCGACGGCGGACCGTGTTGGACGACGTAGTGCGCCGGTGTACACGTGACTTTGACAAAAAGAAGGTGGTTGAAGATATCAAAGTCAAGGACCAACCGACCGTAATAATTGTAAAGCACCGCTGCCCAACGGAGTCTGCAATCTACGTGCGAGACTGCATTGGGAAGTGGCTCCCCCATCGTTGCTCGCGCGTGGGCATGCGCCGCCAGGCCACGAGAAATGAGTTACGTTCATTGAAGATGGTCGATCTCCTGCTCTCTCGATTGGGCTCGGCGACGGGGCTGCCCGAAATTCCATATTTTCCCACGCTGGTGGACGCGCCAATCGTACAATCAGCATCACCAACCGATGCTTGGATACAGCAAAAAGAGAAGCAACAAGCTGATGAGGAAGCTTGCATCAAACCGAAAAAAGATACCACAACACGTTGAATATGGCAACGACGATTGTGGTGACGACCCCAAAGGCCTAGGAGATGCCGCATTGCTCTCCGACGTTTTTATAGAAGAGTTTGAGTCCGACAATGACGACAGCCTCTTCTTAACACTCCCAAGTGGCATTGCGGACGCGCGTGTTGGCGTATTTACCATTGTCACCACCTTCTGCTATGGACGGGGCAACTCTGTAGATCTGGTAGAATTATGCGGGGGCGCTGGCCGCATATCACAACTCGCTTTCAAAATAAAGCTTACTTCTGGAGGTAATTTAGACAAGCGTGCCAACGGTGACGTGAGGAATCCTCGAGTGCAGCAGGCTGTGGAGCATTATCTGCGCGCGTGCTTTGCCGTGACTGTCATGCTGCAACCCAGCTGCAGAACCGCAGGTTTTCCTTCGTGCTTGCCAAGTTAACCGCGACACATGGTGCAGACACCGCAGGGATGACCTTCCCCGCGTCATCTTCTGTGGGAAAGGTAGCCGTCGTGCAAGACGACCTCCGACGCGTGTTCCTGAGGGGGCAGACGGTTGGCGCTTGGGTAGGCGAGCTTGTTTTTTTGGGGGGGCGACGCCGGGCAAACGCGCGGCCACTTGCGCGCAGGTCATTGACCAGTGCTCGACGGGGCTCCGCGATTCATATGGCACTCTTATCAAGGAGCCTACAGAAATCATGGCCAATCCTCATGCCATTCTCAACCTCCTTTAAAACAAAAGGTGCTCTGGTAATCGTGAACGCGCCCGAGGGTGCAACCGACAACTGGCACGAGCGGTCCATTGCACTCCATCGATGCACTCGCTGGTCGTAGATTCAGTACAGATTGCACAGTCCCCTCATGCACGAGGCAACAACAACTTTGCCGACAGTCATTGCGCAAGCACCTTCGTGGTTAACAGCGCTGGATTCGATTCCGATGGCCCCGCGATGCCACGGGGAGAGAACGGATCCATCAAGCGACCCCCATCGGGAGGGCTTGGTTGCCCGGTTTGTATCGACAACGTTGAAATGAACCCGACAAGTCATAGCCGAAACCCGCGTCAATGCCGCTGGTGTGACGAGGAATCCTATCATTGGATCTGCTTAATTGCAAAAAGGACCATGGTAAATGCAAGCGGTGCCACCTGCTGACGCCGGGCAAGTGTAAGCCTGCCCGGCCGTGGCAACTGCCGGACAGATGCGGACAAGCTCCATCGGCTACGCCAGCGCTGGCGAAAGGTGCAGCTGCGCCCGCTGCCGCCTGCGGAGATGCACAGCCGCGTGCATCTCTGCCCTCGCGTAGAGATCCCCAAGGCCAGACCAAACTGTGGGCGCCAGCAGCTACGACGTGACAGGAGGTGCGCGCAGTGGCCCTGGGGCTGGCAGCTGCGCTGACCCCCCGCGTGTCGCAGGACGACGCGGGCGAGAGGAAAGCGGCGTCGCTCCCTCCCCCGCCTCCAGCGGAAGCGCGGCCGCGTGCAAGGTTGCCTGGTTGGACAAGGTTTGATATTCAGGAGAAGCCTTCAAAATTTGTGGAGTTGCGATCCGACCGCCTGCTGGAAGAGCTACGAAAGGTCCGCTTACTCTGGCATCGCGCTTCTGAACCGACCATTCGTTCGATTCTGTCGCGCGTAGGAATCGACGTTGTAGATAAAACGTGACAAATGGTGCAGTAGTTTCATGCCGTGAGCGCAGAGCTTGGGAGAGACCAGGCAATGCGGTTATGCCTTCAATAAGCCTCCTTGGCAAAGTCGCCGAGGAAGTCGAGTGTGATTTGATGTTCTACGCGCAACAAATCGTGTTTCACATCGCCCACCGATGCATTCATTCGATGGGCTGCTGGCCAGGAGATTGCCGACGGGACGATGCGCGCGATATCGGGCGCCTATCATAACTGCTGCATGCAGCGCGGTCCAGCTGCAGTGCTGCATTTCGACGGCGACGGTGCTCTGAGCAATGCCGCTGCTTTATTCCGCCCCGAAGGTAATGGGCGCATAACTTCGCTTTCGTGCCCGAGGCGAGCGCGCCGCCGACATTGAAGCGCGAAGGTGCTTTCTGAGGCACGCCTTGCATGTTGTGGGAGAAGATTGAAAGGATCAACATTCCATGGTTTGACACGTCTACTGTACGAAGGCCCTTCTTCTCCTTCTTTTTCTTAGTATGATTATTCGACAACGGGGTATCTCCATGCCAGGCGCTGTGTGGGCGACAACCAGCCTGCCTACCAGACCTACCGGTATCGGACTACCAACAGGCGGCGGAAACGCCCGATCATAATCGAGAGCCGAGAATCGGAGAAACAAGCGTGGGGGCCATTGCACAAGCCATTGAAGTTGCCAGAACCATTGAAGCCCCGCGCACAATGGCGACAGCAGCGGGGCACAACTATCAGCCGTGGGATCTCGTGGATTACCACCGTCCGACCGCTGCCAACGACGACTGAGGTGGATAGAGCGGACTATGCTCGAACGCCCGTGACTACCCTGACCGTGGCCACGCAGTAGTTCAGGTCGGCGGCAGGGAAGTCTCGGTGCAGCGCCCAGATCGGTGACGCACATTATATGTTGAAGTATTAATTGTCCGCGAGATCAGCTCGGATACTGCGGCAATGCGAACAGTATTGGCTTTCGTCGCGAGCTTGCCTGCGGGGGGGCCTGCCGTGTTT